CCCAGGAGACAGCTGTAACACCAGAGATGGTGCAAGATGGCAAGAAGCGGCAGCAGAACCAGGTGACCAGCACGAGATGGCACAGTGGGTGTGCCAACCCATGGAACTAGAGAGCTGAGTGCCTTCAGGCAGGAGGCTTCCTGGTGGAGTGGGGTGCTCCTGGGCACTTATTGGCAGAGCTAAAGATCTTTGTAATACTTGCTCGAGCAGGGCTGCGGCCAGGCCAAGGGGCCAAGAGGCCGAGGGCCAGAGAGAGGCCTGCCTGCAGGCACGGCTGAGAAGAGGCTGTCCTGATCAAAGAACTGTATTCTGAATTGTAACCTGTTCCTTCCCTAATAAACCTGATAACTGTGAGTATGGTCTGTGAGTTCTGTGTGGCCATTGCAATGAATTTTCAAACCTAGAAGTAGAAGTAGAGAGTGCCGTGGGAGGGACGGCTGGTATCAGAATTGGTAGAAAGGTTGGAGAGAGGAGGTATGTCTGACCTCCACCTCATTGGAATCAGCTTTGGGCTACTGATCTTGATTCTCCTTCCCCCTTGTGAAGTTAGTCAGATGCCTCTGCCACGCCATTTTTACAAAGACTCAATTCCCAACTGCAAAAATTATATTTACATTCAACATAGTCACCATTTGGCACACATTACAATGTGCTAGACACGGCTGAGCAATTCACATAATGTCCTCATTTATTCCTTCTGACCTCCTTGTGAGACAGTGAATTTTGTTATCCCTGCTTATTCAATGGGGATTTAGAAAGAGGTGAAGTGACTTGTCCAAGGCCACACAGTGCCTTGTTTGCTGTAGTCAGTCTTTAGTCCAAGGTGAAGCATATGCAATCGAGAGTATGGCCAGCTGCTAGCTGTCCATTCCATTTATTCTCTCCTTTCTCCTTAGTAACAGAACCCCAGTTTTATTTGAGGTGACAGTATGCCCCGTTAACAGGCTACATTTCTGGCCTCCCTTACAGCTAGCTGTGGCTATGCGACTTAGTCCTCTAGGATTTTAAGAAATCTTCAGATGAAATGTGGACTAGATGACCAGGAGCTCCGGCAGCCATCTTGGACCGTGGAAGCCAGGATTGAAAGAGGCAGTGCAGAAAGATAGGAGCCTGCCATGGTCCAGCCACCTCCAGACTTTTTTAATATGATGGTAAAATGAACTATCTTGTTAAAGTCACAGTGGTAGGGCTCTGTTAATATGCAGCCAAATCTGATACAAAGAGGTTGAAACCCACCCTTCCTGGTCCCTGATCCTGAGGCTAACTCAGAGAAGAAGAGGCCAGCATGGGTGATAATAAAGTGTTTTCTTTATTTGAATGTCATTCCACCTGCACTGAAGCTCAAATCCAGCAGCAGCAGAAGGGGTCAGGACCAAAATAAGTGTTGCCAAATTAGATAATGAAGAATGAGGACACAGTCAGACAGAACTTACTAATGGAGTGTAGACAACACCAGGCTAGCCTAATGATACACAGGCCCTCTGGGTCCACTGGCCAAATCTCCAGGGAAGCACCATGGCTCCCTTGTTCTTTCCCGGGAAACTCCTGTCCCACCCAAAGGCAAGCCCTGAGCCAGGCAGGGCCTGCAAAAGTTGCTTGTGCTGGGAAGATCCCATCGTTCTCCAAAGATTTCCCTTTCTCACTTCACACTGGAAGCTAGAGAAGGGTGAGACCCCTGTGCCCAAGCAGAAACATTAAAACAAGGCCCAAGGAATCTTCCCTCATAACTTTGTCTAAAATCTCTCGTCTTCTTAGCTATTCCAGACCTGAAAACGATCGTGATCCTACCCACGGCCCTCAATCCAGGAAAACTGTTTTCCTCCATGGGTCCCCAAAATGTCAGTTTCCGATCTTCTAGACCTGGAAGGACTTCAGTGACCTACACGATGGGCCAGAGACACAACAACTTGCAGGTTGTGGCTGCTTTGGCCTATCCCAGGGACCCCAGACCAGGTCAGACCACTCTGATCCAGCACAGTTGGAAGAGAGTGCTTCAGAGGGCTGTTTAAAGCTCAGCTTCTTTCAGGACCTAAAGCAAGGAGACTCCAGGTTAGAGTCCTGGCGTCAGAAACAGACATTGATCTTTGCTTCAGTCCCCTCCCAAAGGCTAAAAGCCAAATTGCACATCTTGTGTAAACCCAGACCACAAACCTTCCCTTCCGGCCATGTCTTATGCCTCAGGGGAGCCATCCAAGGCCAGGCGTGGCAAGGTTCAGCCTCCCCTGGGGCCCTAGCTGAAGCCTGTTACCTGCTCTGCTCACACCTCTGTTGAATCCTTGGGACACGGCCTCTGTCCGTTCCCTGTGTTACCCTGGGGTTCCCTCAAGCTTTAGCCCACCCAACCGCATTTTCCTAGCCCCATACTCATTGGACATGTCTCCAGGCTGCCCTTCCCTCTGCCAGGGCAGCAGCTGAGTGGAGGGTGGCATGGAAACCTTTGTCTGGCTACCCCCAAAGGGAACTAGCTTCCCTCTTCTCTGTCACCTGGCGCCAACCCACTCCTACAATCACCTGCCCTCTGTGGTAAGGGCCTGCCCTGTGGTGTGGCTTCAGCCCACTCCACAAAGGGTGGGGGCCTTGGCTGCCTGGGCCCCGAGCCTCTTGCCTCTTGGTTTCTGAGGGGCAGTTCTAACCTCTCCACCATGGCACAGGGTTCTGGTGGTCCCCTGGACGGTAGGTGTCCTTGGGGGAACAAGCTCTCCCCTCACTCAGTGCCCAGACAACACCCATCCCCCATCCCCCCCTATTCTCCTCCCCTTCACCTTCCTTTCCTCCCTCCATCCACAACCCATTTCAATGTCTTCTCATCATTTGCCTCTTTCCTGATCCCTACTCCTTTGTCCTTCCATCTGTCTCCTCTCCCCCTACCCCAGGTTCTTTCCAGCTCAGCTCCCCTCTCTGTGGGCCCCATCAGCTCTGATGCAGTGTCTCTCTGCATCTCTCCTTTCTCCATCTCTGTACCTGTCTCTCTCTTCATCCCTCCTCCTCCTTGCTCTATCCCTGCACCTCTCCATCTCCCGGCCTCCTTTTCTGCCTGTCTCTACAACTCTTCTCTGTCTCTCATTCTCTCTGCACCTCCTTCTCCTCTTTTTCTCCCATCTCCCATTTCTAACCACTTGTTCCTGGCCCCTCCCCTCACTTTTTCCCACACTGCCCCTACCCCTGCAGCCCTCCAACACTGGGCTTTGGTTTGTGTCTTTGAAGTGCTCACTCCTGCCCCTACTCCCATGAGGCTGCCCTCACCCTTCCTTTTGACATGGGATCTTGGTGTCATAGTCCCACCCTCAGGCAGCCCACTGGGGGAGGCACCAGCTGTGCAGCTGTGGTAGGGGGCTCAGAGGGCGCAGGATAGAAGGGTGCATAGTGCTGGGGTTAGAGAACTGGGGGAAAGTGTGTTCCCAAAAGGAGTGAGTCAAGACGATGGGGGAGGTCAGGACTTGGTAGGTTCCAGCCTTCAGGAATCCTACCAGTACCCAGTGTCTGGTTCCAGTTAGGGTCCAGATAAGGGAGACAGGCAGAGGGCTTCTGGGTTTTTCTTGGAAGTCCTAACCCTCAGGTCCAAATCTTATGGAGATGAACACAGGTTGGCAAATGCATGGCACGCATACTGTCCCCTCTTCTTTGGCTGAGGCAGACATAACTTAGTGATAGCCGAACTGTCCCCACTGGGCCTGCTGGGGGTTTCCTGCTCCTCACCAATGGGCCCTGCGGCCGTGCCCACGGAGAGCAGTCTAGATGAAGCCACTTTGCCACCCCTGAACTAGGTGCTGAAAGCAGTTGTCCAAGCCCCAGGTTGGGGGGCTCTCAAGGCTAAATGGCTCTACCCCCAAATCTACAAGATGATGGGTGTTCGAAAAACACTTGGAGTCTCCCTCATTTGCTCCCTGCCAAGGGGGAGGGAGATGCCCCCATGGTGGAGGGGGGGAGAAGACTTCTCTTCTGCTCCCCCACATACACACACACGCACGCACACATACACACATACACACATTCATGCCTTGGCTCCAAGCACTGCCCGTCAGGCTGTGGACCCTGGGCATATCGCAAGGCGAGAAGGTGGGCTAGGAGGAGGAACGGGTGGGCAGGGGAACAGGTCTGAGGGTGGGGACAGGGGATACCCTGTTCAGAGGTGACCTGCAAGTTCAAGTTATGCAGAAAAGTATCAAAGAGGCAAGACAGTCTCTGCCCTTGGCAGATGCCCGGGGTAGGGGACATAGAAGGGATAGGAGGAGTGATGCTTTCCCTAATTCTCCACCCCTGGGCCCCTCTCCCCAGCTCCCAACCCTGACAACAGGGCCAAGAAGTCTGTGCTGTACAAAACAGGCCAGGGTCAAGGGTCACTGGCAAGACATCTCAGCAGAGAGGAGGCAAGGCCGGCCCCAGGCTGAGCCGCTTCAAAGCCCGGGCTTCTGAGGTCAGGCACCACCAAGACAGGAGTCAGAGCACCCCCTCCCACTGCCACCAGAGCCTGTCTTTTCTCAGACTCCGGGCTGAGCAGGGCCCCAGTTGGCAGATGGCAAGGAGGCCTGTGCTTTCCCCCTCATTGCAGCTCAGGTTCCTTTGGGAGAGCTGGGAGCAGGCTCGAGCGAGAGTAGAGGTCCTGGGAACGCTGGCGGCACCTGGGGCACTGTCACATGTGGTGGGACCATTGTCAGCAACAAAAAAAAAGTAGGAAAGAGTCCAGTCCACCAAAGGGGCACAGAGCAGTGTCTTGATTAAATTTCCGTGAGAGGCAGGGGCCAGAGGAGGCCAGGATATAGCCAGGCAACAGCCTCCAGATGGAGGGGGCCTGGAGACCTGGAGCCATGGTGCCTCCTTCCCCTGGCAGCCCTGCAAGGGCCTCCAGACCAGGTTAAAAGGGAGAGGAAAAGCCCTGGGGACTGTGGGGGTCGAGGATCCCTTAGGTCAAATGAGGATGGAGCCAGAACCTGGCCCCTCAAGGGCTCTCCCCGACCCCAGGCTCCTTCCCAGCCCCGTCCTCTCTTCCAAGCCTGGCAGGTAGTAGGTGAGAAGTCAGTCTGAGAGTTGGGTCTTCCCTTGGAGCTTGATCGGCGGGAGAGAGGGCAGGAGACAGGACAGGCTGAGGTCAGGTCAACTCCTGAGCTGTGATCCTGGCCTTCAGGGTCCCTGGGAGTGAGCGACGGGACACGGGAGGACCCCCCATCCGGAGACATCACCCCCTGGCCGCAACACAGAGCTTACTGTAGAGCTCACGAAATCTGAGAAAGAGAGAATGAGTGAGAGTCACAGACTGCCAGGGTGTCAGGGCTCCCCTCGGCCACTCCCCAGGGCAAAATGGGCAGAAGGGTGACATGCACCGGCTCTGAAGTCCCAGCCAGGCCTCTGACCAGCCGGGTGGCCTTGAGCAAGCCCCAGTTTCCTCACCTATAAAATGGGGATAATAACGTATTTCACAGAGTAATTCTGAGAGGTCAAAAGGAGCTAAATAAAGGCTTTGCACAGTGTCTGGCACATAGTAAATGCTGGAAATGGTAGCAATTGATTTTATTTTTGACTTGTTCCAGAGGCCTTTGACTCAAGTGAGCTGTGAGGCTCACTCGTCTTGAACTCTCCCTGCCCGTCAGGCCCTTTTCCTCCCGATTGAGGGATGGCAATCCCCAGACGCTGAAAAGAGGCAAACGAGGGCTCCCTTACATCACTTTTAACACTGAGACTCAGGAGCTTTAGGGAGAAAGGAGAGGAATGCTGCACCGACCCAGCTCACACCAGTTTCTTGGATCCTACTCACATTCCCAAGTCCCTTCTTCAGAAAGGCCAGACATGCTAAGCCTTGGTCCTGCATTTCTGGAAGCTGCCACTAGAGAGCGGGCTCTGACCTCTTGCAAAGACCACAGAAATCACTGGTTCTGAGGGTCTCTGTAGGAAGGAGCCCAGAGAAGGATGGTCGGCCACCAGCAGCCCAGGAGGAGTCAGAAGAGGGGGCAGGCCATCTCTAGCCTAACCAGGCTGGGACAGGTAGCGTGGCACAGGGGGGAAGAGCTTGGGCTTTGGATCTCGACTTGGGTTCAAATTCTGTTTGTACCACTTAGGTGACCTTGGGCAAGTTGCTCGACCTCTCTCAACCTCAGCTTTCATATTTGTAAAATGGTGGTGATCACACCTACTTGACTGGGTCTTTGTGAGGACTGAAAGCTCTTACTGAACACTCACCATGTGCCAGACACTGCTTGCCACTGTACATGCACAATCTTATTTCCTCCTCACACAACAGCTCTGTGAGGTGGTACACCTCTCATCACCCTCATTGTACGCATGAGGAAACTGGAGCTTGAGGAGATTAAGTGATTTCTTAGTTCAGCCTGCTTCCAATGCAGACAATCTGCCTCCACATTTTAAGAGTTCAATTATAATATACACTATCTCCTGTCAAATGAAATAATACTGTGCAGGCATTATCTCATTTAATCCTCACTACCATTAATCTCCATTCTACAGATGAGGAGAAGCTCCAAGAGATGGATATAATTAATATAAACTGTCAAACATAGACCTGGCACATGCTAAGAGCTCAAGGAAGGGTGTGACTATAAAGATTACTACTCCCATTTCTCACAGTAAAGAACACACGCATACGCTGGTTTCTGCCCACCACTGCAGGGTCCCTTATTGATCGGGTGCAGGGTGGGCTTTTGGGTCAAAAGCCTCTGACTGTAAAGTCAGCTTCTTCAAGTGCAAATTGGTACCACTTCTTTGGGGAGCAATCTGGCACTATCATTCCAATCCTAAGCATGCCATTCTACTCTTGAAAGACATTGAGAAAACACTTCCACGTGTGCATGAGAAGGCTTGTAAAATGATGGCATTATAGTAACGTCAGGAATAGTGAAACACTGGAAACCTCACTAATAGCCCCAAAAGGAGAATGGTTAAATAAACTATGGTTCATTCACTTTAGATAATACTAAGCATTGGAATAAAAATCAAAACCAAACCCATTGCCCTCGAGTCGATTCCAACATTGGAATAAAACGGGTGAAGTGGATCTCCTGCAAATGATAAAGATCTTTAAGACATGCTCTAGAGTTGAGCACAAAAAGTAATCTTAGGAGGGATTCATTTAGGAAGATGCCATTTATGTTAGCACATGACAATACTGTGTATTTTATAAAGGGACATGTGATGTATGTAGACACGTAGAAAAGGGTCTGATAACAGTGGTTACCCCTGAGGAAGGTAAAGAGGGTACTAGAAAAAGGAAGTTCTGGCCTGATAGGTATTTTTTTCCCCTCTATTATATTTTAATATGTTACTTGATATGTACAAAATGTTATATGTAATATACTAATTACAAAGCATACTGTAATAAACACCTGTGATCTCACCACTCAAGAACTATAACTTAACCAATAACTTGGATATACCTACATGTCCCCCATCTGATGTTCCTGGCTTCCTCCTCTCCCATCCCAACCAGAGATAGCCACCATCCTACCACTTCTATTTATTTCTTTGCTTTTTAAGTATATATATATATGGCAGTTTGAATCTACCAGCCGCTCCTTCGAAACCCTGTGGGGCCATTCTACTCTGTCCTACAGGGTCGCTATGAGTCAGAATCAACTCGACAGCAATGGATTTTTTTGGTTTTATATATATAATCAGCCATCTTCTGGAACTTGATTTTTTTTCCCTCTCAATATTATGTTTCCAGAATGCATCAATTCTGTTACTGATGGTCATTCATGTTCATAGTTTTGTAGTATTCCATGATGTGAACATACCACAATTTATGTATCCATTCTCCTGTTGTTGGCCATTTAGGTTGTTTTCAGTTGTTTGCTATTTTGGAAGTTACTGCCGCGAGCTTTCTTGGACATTTCTCATGGGTTTATGCCCAGACGTGGGTTTGCTGGGTCAAAGGGAGTGCAAATGTTCCACTTTGAGGGATCTCATCAAATTGTTTTCAGTGTGGTTGTATTGTCTGTTACGTTTCCAATTTTTGGATCACTTTTATTACCTTTACTGTACATGGTCCCGACCCTGGAGGAGCAGGCTTTGCCCACCCAGCAGCCCAGCCCCACAGCCCTGGCACTCGCCTTTGTTCTCCTCCTTGAGCTCCTCCTGCAGCAGGTCTGTTTGCCGGTTGCCCAGCACGAAGGCGAGGAAGGAGAGGATGAGGGCATTGAGGATGCCGATGATGGCCAGGATGTACGCCCAGCGCACTGAACAGTCCCCCAAGGAGTACTTCCCAGTCTTGGCCCCGCACATGTCCCGGATCGTCTCGGCATCCCAGCCGTCTGGGAAGATCATGCAGCCCAGGACAAGGCACAGAGCTGAGGGGGCGTGAGCGCCGGACCCATCACCACGGTCAGGGAGGAAGAGAGAAGGGGCTCATTACTCCTCAGAGCCTGAGAACCACCAGAAGCCCTCCTTGGTCTGGGCCCCAGCATTCCCACTCCGCCCATCAACCAAAGTGCTTATTAGCCACTTACTGTGGATTTCATGAACATAGATGAGTGTCTGGGATTGGTCTTGGGGAGCAGAAACCTTCCAGAACTCACAATGCCCTCCCCGTCCCCTATCAAATTAACTCTTCCTCCAGGAAGCCCTCCTGGTTTCTCCAATCCACAATGCCCCCTTTCTCTCCCATTAAATCAACTCCTCCTCCAGGAAGCCTTCCTGGAAATACGAGAAATTAGAAAACCACAGCCATCTCCTTCAGCTCCCTCTAGCATTCCTGGCTATGCTTACCCTCTCCAATCTTCATCATTATTTTTTTATGTTTATCTTTTTGTTTTTTCTTTTTATTCATTTATTGAGTGCCATTTTCCTTTCATTCAGGATGCTGGGAATATGTTCTCATTCACGCAGTTAAGCTCCGTTCTAAGTGAACAGACCATAGAATGAGAAAGACGGAGTCCAAGCCTAGTTCTTCCACCTACTCAGCTATAGGACTTTGGGGAAGCCTCCGAACCTTTCTGATTCTGTTTCTTTGTATAATGGAAACCATAGGACTTACCTCATAGGGTTGTTGTGAGGATTAAATGAGGTAAGGCTTGCAAGATTTAGCACAGGGCGGCATTCACTCACTCAGGTAGTATTTATTGAGGGCAGGAGACCAGGCTTGGGGGGCAGGTACATGAATCCTGGCCTCATGGGTTTGCAGTATAGTAGAATGCTGGGCTCACATCCTGGCTCAGCTATTTACTAGATGTGTGTGACCTTAAGTGAGTTCTTTCACTTTTGTGTCTCAGTTTCCTCATCTATAATATGCAGATAATGATAGTATCATCAAGCAATTGTAAAAATCACAAAAGGCAGCAAATGTAAAGTGCTTGGCACGGTAAGTCCTCGATAAATATTAGCCATTATTATCAAAACATAGTCATAATGATAAACATACTAATAACAGAAATAAGGAAAAAATTAGGGTGGGGAGGGTTCCAGATAAAGAGACAGATGGCAGAAGGGGCAGGCCAAGACAGGCCCTCCAAATGCACAGCTGCTGATCTGCTGGTTCCTTCCTCAGCATTCACCCCCTAGGTGTTTAGGACTCACCCCTTCCAATCCAGGCCCTGTGATTTAGGGGGGCTCCTTCCCCAGCACTTAGCATAGCATCATGGGACTCAAACCTGAGCCAATTGGCACATTGCATTCCCCTGCCAACAATGATTGGCTCAGAGAAGGGCACATGTCCCATCAAAGACCAATCAGAGCCAACTGGACTCAGTCTGGCATGACTCAACCTCGTTGTGACGTAGTCAGTAGTCATTACCTCTGCACACAATGAGTGTTGTGAGAGCCAGCTCTGGGTTATGACTATGTCTGTCTGTCTTGATGTTGCCCCCTTATTGCCTGTCAGTCTCACCTGTGTCTGGGATACTGTGTCTGAGAACTGAAGGTTCCACAGGACTCTGGTTTGAACTGTAGTATCCTTGACCCTGCGCCAGGCCAGTAGGGGGCACTTAACCTGGGATTTAGATGACAGTGAAGAAATCTAAAACTGGGGTGGTGGTCAGTTCTGTCCACTGTCCATGAGGCCTGCCTAGTCTCCAGGGCAGGGAGAGTCCTCAGCTTTGACGGCTTGCTCCCTAAGCCACAGACTGCTCCCAGCCTATGAACCCAGTGGTGGGCGGCCCTTCCCTCCCTAGGGTGCTTTGGGCCTCCTCTGCTCTTTCCCACCCTCCTGCTCTGTGGCATTCCCCCGCCACTTCCCACAATGTTTTACTCCCCCACGTTGTTGTTGTTAGCTGTTGCTGAGTCAGCCAGGCTCATGGTAACCTCACGGCACCCCCATGTACATGTGCCATCCCCATGATCAGTTGGTCCCCATGCACAACATGGATGATTGGTTCTGAATCCAGTGTTGTGATCCATAGGGTTTTCATTGTTGGATTTAAGGAAGCAAATCACCAGGCCTTTCTTCCTAGTTTGTCTTAGTCAGGAAGCGCCTCTGAAACCAGATCAGCATCACAGCAACACTCAAGCCTCCACTGACAGATGGGTGGTAGTTGCACATGAGGTACATTGCCCCAAAATCAAACCCTGGGTCTCCAGCACAGGTGAGAATTCTACACTGAACCGCCACTGCCCCCTTTCCCGTGTTACTGTGATCCATATCGAAAGCAACATTCCTTTCCTGAAGCCCAGCTACTTGCCCTAATACAATATACCCCTCTGCCTCCACACACACTCTCAAAGCAGGCTTTCTCCCATTTCCAACCCTCTCGCCTACTCCAAAACAATTCTTCCCAGCTCTAGGGAAACACACCCCCGCTTAAGGGCTGGTAAAAGAGGCAAAGGGAATGACAAACGCAAGCGGGAATGAGCTTGGTGAGTTAAAATACTGAACAAGTTAAGTTTGAAATGGTGGTTAGAGATTCAAATAGGGAAGTCAGGCGCTCAGAGGAGAAATCGGGGCTAGAGATACAAATCTGGGATATGTAGGCATTTGTGGGTGTTTAAATCCCTGAGTCTGGACATTACATAAACTGCAGAGACAGCCCAGGACTGAACCCTGGGGCGCTCCAACATTGACCGGGCAGGAAGAGGAGGAGGAGCCTGCGAATAGGCTCGGCCCATCCCTTCCCACCGCCCCGCCCCTCCCCCCCAAATATCCCCGACACTTTTTGAAAGACCCTCCAGGACCCTATGGTGAGCTACGTCTGCTAACCAAAAAGTCGGCAGTTTGCATCCACCAGGCGCTCCTTGGAAACTCTGTGGGGCAGTTCTATAGGGTCGCTAAAAGTCAGAATCCACTCCAAGGCAACGGCTTTGTTGTTTTTTTCTCCAGGACCCTATGGGGAGGGTAGAGGGCCACACACCAGGAAGGGGGCGCGGGAGAGGAGGAGAGGACTCCTCCAGCGGGAGGCAGGAGTTGGGGAGGGCCCGAGGAGGGGCGAACCCACAATTCTCTCCATCTCTCCTCTGGCCCTCCCACCCGCGGTGCCAAGGGGGTGAGCCCACTGCAGTCGATTTCCTCTCCATCCCAGAGCATCCCCGTCTCCATGGAAACCGCGACCGTATCCCTGCGCTCCTTCCCGCGCAGCTCCTCGCTCCCGAGGGCGGTCCTCAACCCTTCGCACGCGGCGCTGAGACAGCGAGGAGCTTTTCTTCTCGTTGCTCCACGACTCGACTGCGCGTTCTCTCCGTGTCTCATCATTTAAGAGTCTCTGTCTAGTCGAGTCTTCATTCCTTTCTCTTCCCCACTCTTTTCATCTTTTCTTTGTTTGCATCTATCTTTCCCTTCTCGCCTCTCTCGGGCCTGTATATATCGTGCTCAAGCCTCAAACTCTACTCTCCCTTGTCCCCTCTTCTGTTTAGACCTCTCAGCATTTAACATTCATTCAACACCCCTCCTCTTCTCTCCTCCTTCTCTGTAGCTCTTCCTTCTCTCTGCCTCTCCCTTCCAACATTGCACAAATACATTTCTGAGGGCCTATCATGTGCCTACTACGGACAATGAATAGGAAAGACCGAAGAATTGATACCTTTGAATTATGGTGTTGGTGAAGAATATTGAATATACCATAGGCTGGAGGAAGAACGAACAAATTTATCTTGGAAAAAGAACAGCCAGAATGCTCCTACAGCCAGAAAGCGAGAATGGTGAGATGTACTTTGGACATGTTAGCAGGAGGGACCAGTCCCTGGAGAAGGACATCATGCTTGGTAAAGCAGAGGTCAGCAAAAAAAAGGAAGACCCTCAATGAAATGGATTGACACAGTGGCTGCAACAATGGGCTCAAACATAGCAACGATTGTGAGAATGGCACAGGACTGGGCAGTGTTTTGTTCTGTTGTACATAGGGTCACTATGAGTCAGAACCGACTCAACGGCACCTAATAACAACTAAGTGCCAGGACTGCGCAGGCTGCCGGGGGAACAGGCAGACATGGTTTCTGTCCTCAGGAGCAGAGGCACATGGGGGAGGAATAAACTAAACATGTCCACACACCAAGAGAATAGCTATACATGTCAATGGGTTCATCAAAAGAAACAGACTAGGGGCTGAGACCCAGAATAACAGGAGTGGTCAGAGAAGGCTGGGGAGCTAGGGAGACTCTTTCTCCATCGAAATCCTAACCTCTGTGATATTAATGAGGCAGGATTAGAGGCACTTAGTTAATGAGGCAGGACTCAGACTACAGGATTAGGTTGTAACTTGAGTCAATCTTTTTTGAGATATAAAAGAGAGAATCAAGTAGAGAGGAGAGGACCTCATACCACCAAGAAAGAAGAGCCAGAAGAAAAGTGTGTCCTTTGGACTTGGGGTCCCTGCACTGAGAAACTTCTAGGTCCAAGGGAAGACTGATGACAAGGACCTTTCCCCAGAGCCAAAAGACAGAGAAAGACTTCCCCAGGAGCCGATGCCTGAATTCGGACTTCTAGCCTCCTAGACTGTGACAGAATAAATTTCCATTTGCAAAACCATCCATTTGTGGTATTTCTGTTATAGCAGCACTAGATAACTAAGACAGAATTTGGTACTGGGAGAGGGGTGCTGCTCTAAGAGATACCTAAAATGTGGAAGCAGTTTTAAAACTGTGAATGGGTAGAGGCTGGAAAAGCTTTAAGGTGCCTTGAAGAGACTGTTGGTGGAATTATGGACATCACAGACAATACTGGTGAGGACTCAGAAGGAACTGAGGAGAGATGCAACACCAGAGACAGCGCAGACGGTGAGAAGCAGCAACAGAGAAACAGCAGCAAAAGAACCAGGAGACGGTGAGGGAGCCGGACCATGGAGCTAGAGTGCATGACTTTGCACAGGAGGCTTCCTGGTGGAGTAGGGTGCTTCCAGACACTCATTGGTAGACCTAAAGAGCTTTG